CCCTCAAGGAAGACGAAGCCAGGACGAGGATCAAATCGGGCGAAGAGAGATCGAGAATCTCTGAGATCCGGCGGTGTTGGAGGATGTATCGGGCGCCGCGGCCTTCTCCGAGCGTTCCCGAACGCTCTGAGAGCGTTCCGGAACGCTCACGGACGCATCCTCGCCCTGGCCCCCGTCCGAGAAAAGGCTCCCTTTCGGGCCCCTTTACGGCCCCGAAGAGGGCTCCTTTTCTGCAGCCCTCGCTGCCGCCCCCCCCCCCCCCCCCCATATATCGCTCCCCATGACGCGACGCCCAAGGCTGGACCCAGACCTCCGACGGGTTGTCTCTGCCGCGCCTGTCAAGGAAGCAGCTCATGGGAGGCCTGCGCAACAACGATTGAGGGCCATAGTAGGCTAGATGAAAGAGCCGCTGCGCCAGATCAAGCCGCATGAAGCCCGGGTTTAAGCCGGACTACGCGGGTTTATGCCGAATTTGGCCAACGACCGACCGCGGATAAAGCATCGCCGATGCTGCACGTAACTTCCTGGGAGTTCTATCCTAATGCCTGGGGAGGCTGATTGTGAAGTTGCTGCGCGAGGCGACCTCGGAAGACAAAGCGAAGGCGATCGCACCAGGGAAGCCCGGCCACATTTAAAGGAGTGGTCGACACTGCAGACGAAGTCAAGTCAGCAAAAAACATACTCCAGCTTGTCGGTGCGAAGCGGCAGACACTTACGAAAGCATAGCGCGCATTCTACAATCGGAGGTGGCAATGAAGGCAAAAGGAAAGCTAGGCAGGAGCGGAATGGAACGGGACTCCAGGATAGCGGGGCTCCAGGATATAGAACTCGTGTACAACAGGGCGTCACCAGCGAAAGCGATGCGGCAAAACTGACAAGACGTCGTGTGACCCAGAAACGAGACAGAGGTGCAGCAGGCAGTCATGGAGGTCCGAAGGGCAGATGCCATGACAACGTGGAGACCTTTCGCAGCCATCGTCCGATTCGCCATCGAAGGTCTGTTCAAATCAAGTTCGCTGGTCGGGGCTCAGTGCCGCATCCGAGCTGCAAAGGTCGGACGAGGACACGGAGAGACCAGCCCGTTCAAAAACTGAGTGTCTTCCTCTGCAACGAGCGAGTGCCACACGGGGGATCACTAGGGATCCGAAACGCGGCTTGAAGGTTACTATCAAGACTCGCGTGCACAGAATTCTTAGACCACGGGTGCCGGTGATACAAGATTGCACAGTTGTCGACTCCATCAGAAGGCCTCCAGGAGGAGGAGGCGACGGAGACGAAGGAGGCGGAGGAGGTGGCGGAGGAGGAGGAGGCGGAGGCGGAGGCGGAGGAGGACCAGTGTAAAACTAAGACTCATCAACGATGTTGGAATACACCTCCCCTTCAAACTCCCTCTTCAGAGGCTCCTACACCGGCTCAATTCCACAGAGGGAACTGCCTCGTTGGAAGACAGCCGTTTGAAGACCCTTAAACATGCCAGAACATTGTCTCGGGTTTCCAGCGCCACGGATCAACCAGACTGTTGCGTCTTGACGATCCTGGATCGTGCTAGGACGCCATTCCTGGGACTTCAACGCCGCGAATCATCGTAACTGTTGCACCCTCATTATCCACAATCCTTCCCACACACTCTTTCTGCTGCGCTGATCATGGGAATCCGTGAGAAGATTGCAATTTCCAATAACGAATGTGCGCCACGCTAACGCGACAACCGCATTTTGAAAAAGAGCCACCCTCAATCCGTGAAGCTCCTTGTTCCCAACCATCCTGTGGTGTTGGGTCCTCGTTTTGTAGAGACAACGCCCCGCGTTGCTTCCTCTCCTCTGCTTCTCCTCCTCCTCCCCCTCCTCCCTCCTCCCATGATCATCATCCCATGGTCACATCGTCATCATCGTCATCATCACCAGCATCGCCATCATCATCGCCGTTATGGTCACGAGCATCGACACCCAGTTCGGCACACCCTCACACGCTTCGTGGCCCCATAGGGAGCTCCACCGAAGGCCCCGATGCCACCGTCCACGTGCGTTCCTCACACCTATTTCGGCACACTCCTTGCACGCTTCGTGGGCCCATACGGTGGGCGCATTGGATAAGGAACCCTTAGATAAGGAATCTAGGACCTAAAGGCCAGTGGAACTCCAATCGGAGCTTGGCCATGGATATCGCCACGGCCTTCATCAGATAAGAAATCCTCCAGGGTCTGCAGCATTCTCGGCGCATTCCTTAACCAACGCCCTCACCGTATGGATTTCCACCGCAGGCCCCACTGCCACCGTCCACATGCGTCTCCCGCACCTATTTCGGAACACCCATCACACGTTTCGTGGCCCAATACGAATTTCACCGGATGCCCCAATGCCACCGTCCATATGCGTCCCCCACACCCATGCCGGCACATTCCACACACGTTTCGTGGCCCCATATGGAACTCCACCGAAGACCCCAGTGCCACCGTCCACATGCGTCCCCCGCACCCATGTCGGCACACCCCTCACACGCTTCGTGGCCCCATAGGGATCTCCACCGAAGGCCCCAATGCCACCGTCCACATGCGTCCCTCGTACAAATTTCGGAACACCCCTCACACGTTTCGTGGCCCCATAGGGAGCTCAACCGAAAGTCCCAATGCCACCGTCCACATGCGTCCGCCGCACCCATTTCGGCACATCCCTTACACATGTCGTGGCCCATAGGGAGCTCCACCGAAGGCCCAAGTGCCACCGTCCACACGCGTACGCCACACTCATCTCGACACGCCCATCAAGCGCTTCGTGGCCCCATACGGAGCTCCACCGAAAGCCCCAGTGCCACTGTCCACATGCGTCCCCAGCACCAATTTCGGCACACCCATCGCACGTTTCGTGGCCCCAGATGGATCTGCAACGCAGGTCCAATTGCCCCGACCGCATGCGTCGCCCACACCCATTTCGGCACACCCATCACGCGTTTCGTGGCCCCATATGGGTCTGCACCGAAGGCCCCAGTGCCACCGTCCACATGCGTCCTCCGCACCAAATCTAGCAATTCCATTACACGTCTCGTGGCCCCATTGGGAGCCCCACCGCATGCCCCAGTGCCACCGTCCAATTACGTCCACCATACCCATCCCGAAACACCCCTCACACGTTTCGTGACCCATAAGGAGTTCCACCGAAGGGCCCAGTGCCACCGCCCGCATGCGTCCCCCACACTCATTTCGGCACCCCCTCACACGCTTCGTGGCCTCATAGGGAGCTCCACCGAAGGCCCAAGTGCCACCGTCCACATGCGTCCCCCACACCCATGTCGGGTTCGTGGTCCGTCACCGACGAAGACATTCACAACTGGGGTCCGCACAACTGTATATGGTTGGGACCTTCGCCAGGCTAATTGAAACGAGTGTGCGTGGCGCTTGAGCGAGAACCGCATTTTGAAAACGGGCCGTCCTCAATACGCGAAGCTCGTGCACATGTGTGAAGCTCGTGCACATTTGTGAAACTCGTGCATGGCCGACCTCGGCCTCAGCGGCGACATCGAAGGCTGGCAGGGCGTGCCGTGGGCCCCCGGCGGCTGGCGGCCAGGCGACCGCTCCCTGCAGGACACCCGCGCGGCCTTGCTGGACGCTTGGGCACGGCGCGAAGCTCGCGCCGTGGCTCGGCGGCGCGCCGACCTCGGGCACGTCGCGGACGGGTTCGACCGCTGTGCCACCCGACGCCTGCTGGAATGCGAGGAACTCGCGCCGGACGCGGCGGGCGCCCTGCGCGAGGTCCGCGCACGGGCAACGTCGTCACCGAGACGGTGGCCCCGAAGTGGTGCCGCCCCTCGCGCTGCCCGCATTGCGGCGCCGCGGACGAGACGCGCGAGCACCGATCTGGACGTGTCCCAAGAGGCACGAGGTCCGCCACGCCGAGTTGCGGGCAGGCGGCTTAAGCGAGGCCGCCCTGCTGGCGCGCCTGCCCCTGGGGGTCGAGCTGTCTGGAATGCTACCCACGGACGCTCGCCTGGCCGCGCTCGCCGCGCTGGGCCAGCAGCAACTGCGACCGCCCCCGCATGCCGCCCCCGGCCGTGGCCCCCGGGCAGGCCCGAGTGCGGGCTTGGAGCGACGGCGCTTGTGAGCACCCCACTGATCCGTTGCTGGCCCGGGCTGGCCGGGGAGTGCGCTTGCAGGGGCCCAGCGGCGTGTCGCGGCGCTGCAGCGGGTCTGTCGGGCGGGCCCAGACCGCGCAGCGCGCAGAGCTCAGCGCGGCTGTGCACGCCGTCAGCGAAGCTGGGGCCCCCTTGGAGCTGGTCTCCGACTCTAAATACGTGTGCCACGGGATCGCGGCGGTGCATGGCGGCGCGCGCCCCCGCGAGTGGACGCACCCGGACCTATGGGAGTTGCCCAGGGGGCCCTGACACCCGCCGCTGCGTTTTTCGGCGTTGTTTTGCAATTGTCCCTCCCTCCCTCCCTCCCTCCCTCCCTCCGCCTCCTCGTCCACCTCCTCATCCTCCTCCTCCTCCTCCTCCTCCTCCTCCTCCTCCTCCTCAGCCTCCTCCTCCTCCTCCTCCTCGCCCGCTGCCCCCGCAGCCACTGCGGCCCAAGCTGGCGGCGCAAGGGTATTTTAGTGACGCCTCCCGAGAAATGAAAACTGATAGCTGCAGCAGTCGCTCTGCTGTCAGACTGCTTCGAAGCAAATGGGCGCGCGCCCCATGGGACACGAGTGCATTCAACGAGACTGGCGGCCTCCTCTCCCTGTCTCTTCGGGAGGAAGGCGAGGAGGCAAGAGTTACACTGCATGGCTGGCAGGGGGGGCGGCCGCCATCGGACGCGGAAGGCCATGCAAAACCTCCGTGAGAGGTTGGCGTCCCCTCCGCGTTCGCGCGGGGAGCCTGTCGGGCCCTGTCGCGCAGTCGCGAGCCCGCCGAAAGGCAAGGCGGAGAGCGCCGGGGGAGAGAGGGAAGAGTTATCAAGCTGCGGCATGCATTGGTAAAGAAGTGGGTCGATCAGCTGCTCCTGGACACGCAACTCAGTGGATGCAGACTGCCAGTGCTTGTCCAGCTCAGCCATCGCCGACCCAAGCTCTCCCGCAAGGAGCTGCGCCTGCGCCCCCCGCGCGTGCGCGTGGAAAACGGCGGGCCTCTTCAGGTAGACGGCGCCAGCACTGATGCCGAGCTCCGCCGCGCAGTTGGTAGCGTCGTTGATCAGCCTGCCAGCAAATCGTTTTGGCGTCAGACAGCTTTCGCGACCGACTTGAGCGTCAGCAGCCGCGCCTGCCGCGAACTGTCGTTGTCGTTGACCAGCACCTTTGCCTGCATCTCGTAGCGAGTGAGCTCCGCTGCTAACGCCATCATGCTGTTGACGATATGCCACTGCTCGTGGATCGGTTCGAACTGAATATGGCAGCCGTTCAAACAATTGGCCAATGTCCGCTTGGCCGTCCTGAGAAAAACATATGTTCCGTTCGTGCTCGGGCGTGGCACTCCGAGTCTGCATGCGCAGCTCGAGGACCGCGTGGTCAATGAGCTCCTGCGTGCCCATCGAGACGGCATCGTTCACCACCTGGAGGTCGCACTCGGTCTCCAGCGCGCACGACGACGAGAGGGACGCGAAGATCCTGCCGATCGCACGCATCATGCCAGCGACCTTCGCGAAGTGGGCGGGTAGCGGCGAGCACACCTCCAGAGCTTGAAGATCGTAGCAGGTGTCCGCCAAAGCGGCTCAGACCTATTGGCGCGCCGTGCGTCTGATCGCTGGGCCTGCCGCGGCTGCGGGTACAGGAGGGGATCGGTGGGCACGTCTATCACGTTGTGAAGCCGCCAGCTGCCACGGAAGTCCATTTCAAAAAGTCCGCCTGAGCTCCACGCAAGGACCACCAATCCTCGAGCCACACCTCTTCACTCCCTTGGCTGCTAGGTGCAGGTGCAACCAGTGGTGCCGATCTTCCGCCAAAGATCCTGGAACTTGTTCGCTATTTGAGCAGGGGCCGACCGTCCCAGCATTCCTGTAGTCATACCACGACATGTTCTTAGAACCCATAAATGTTCTAAGAACAAAAACAATATTCTTAGAACATAAACCCGATATACGAAAACAAGACGATATCGGCCAGACATGTTCTAAGAACATTTCGTGGGAACCACAAAAAGCACTTAGAACATTGTTTGGTAGGGATATTGGCGAGCCAGGACGTTTCGTAACTGCTTGAGCTATGGTCTGCCAGTCGACGCCGAGTCGGGTGGCAACGGGCACGTCCCCTGCCAGCCTTGAGGCTTCGTCGGGTCCGCGCGCCTGCGCCTCCACGAGCGCGTGCCCGGTCTGGCGTGGATGAGGCCCTCCTGCCAGAGCGCGCACAGCAGTCCTGGTCGGGCTCCGCAGTCTTGATCAGGCCCAGGAGCTCCTTCGTCTGGACCTTCCTGAAGGGGCCCTGGGACACACAAATAAATACACACAAATAAAAGGATTTCCCATATTTTCTGGGTTTCTGTCTTCCCCCCTACTGCCCATATTTTCCCATATTGTCTTGGGAATCGACGATCAATTGTGTCTGTGTGTTTTTTTCTCCTCCTGACTTCCTTCTGAAGTCCTTCCCGTTTTCATCGGCGTTGACGTACACAATGACGCGCTGGCCGCTGACCGCTGACCGCTGGCGCGTCGAACCTGCACCACGAGACGCCTGGAGGTTTTGAGCGCGCGCAGCCAATGGCGCTCCCGCCCGTGCGACACCAGCGATACCTCCAGGGCAGTGGAGGTGGAAGAGTTGTTGCGGGATGTCGCCGCAGAGCTTGAGCTGGTTCTCCTGGACCTTTGCGGCTTGTGGCCGATGTGCAAGGGCTGCTTTAACCTCTCCTGGAGTGGCAGGGGCTTCGCAAGAGAGGGTGAAGAGGGAGGGGTCAACGGGCCAGCTCCAGTCCGCGAGTCGGGCTGGGTCGATCGGCCTGGCGGCCTGCGCCTCCGCCACCGCCAGCGTGGACTGCAACATCTTGACGGCAGCCTGCAACCCCGCCTGCTCCTTCTCCAGCTTTGCGTTCTTGGGAGGAGGAGGGGGAGGAGAAGGAGGAGGAGGAGGAGGAGAAGGACGACGACGACGAGAACCGCTCCTCTCCCTCGCCGTCCTCCAAAAAGAGGGGCCCGAGGGGTCGGAGCACTGCAGAAGCCATGCCGTCGAAGGTCTAGGGACAGCGAAGATCCCGCCACGAGGCCCGCGCCCGCGACCGCTCGGCGGCTGCAGCACGGGCCCCCGTGCTGCTCGACCGCGGCCTTGGCGACGAGGGCCGCTCGAGCAGCTGGCGGGGAGCGCAGAGTCGACGACGAGGCGGAACGAGCCCCAAAAATCCCTAGTGGTCTTCGCGAAATCGCCCGTGACTGGCCCCGCCCCCGTCCCCTGCCCCTGCCCTGGCCACGCCACGAGTCGCGAAAGCGCGGTCTGGGAGCCCGCCCTTCCTGGGGATGCCCACGCTCCCCGTAACCCAACAGGGGATCCAGCTGACAGGGCGTGGTGGAATATAGATTCGGAGCAAGTGTGCTGCAAGTGAACTGCGCCAGAGGATTGGATTGCATTGCGTTGCAACACGTTCATGGCGCAGGAAAACCCAGCAATACATTTGCGCTCTGGAAAATACTGCGCAGCCCAAATCCACTGCCACCCCACAGATCCACTGCAGCAGGTCTGTTGCACCACCCCCTGCTCGCTGGACCCCATTCTGGGGTCAACCAGACGGACGGCACCAGCGCGAATCGTGACGTGACCAGCCCCCTCCCCCCCTTCCGCCCGACGCGGTCACGCTCATAATCTTGGGGGCGCACAAACATGGCTTAGCGATCCATGGATCTGGCTCGCGGTCGCAAAATCTATGGATCGGGGGAGGTCTCCTCCCAAAAATGCGGCCGGTGCCGCCTCGTTCGGCGGTGGGAATCCGCGATTCACAATGGAAGCGGGGCCCGTCGCTAATCCACGCCCCCTTGATCCATGTTTGCGATCGCCTGTTCATCGCCAGGGGATTAAATTGCGTGCCTCAAGAGGAGCACGGGTTGGGGGGGGGACGGGTTGGGAGGGGTAGGGGTTGACCCGGATTTCGGGTTGTGGGGGTACGGGTTCCATATGTGTTTTTTCAATGCTCCCCCGACGCCCCCACTGGAAATGGAGGGCAAATTGAGGCCTTCGGGTTGGGTTCGGGGTGTTTGGTGGGTGGCGGGAGAGGGAGCCGACAACGGATATAAATACGTCCAACCTCAAACAAAAACGCCCTGTCGTCTCGAAAGGCATCTCAGCCCAGGCCCCTTCCGGGCTGCCAAACGCACCAGCCTCCCGAGCCGGGCTCGGCCGGGGCGGCGCGGGGGTCCCCTCGGAAGGCCCAGGAGCGGCCCCCTGCCTCCCCGGGGGCCCCTCCTCCGATCACCCCCCCAAAGATCAGGCGAAGGACGAGGAGACGCCGAGGGCTGGAGGGGAGGACGAGCGAGAGGACAGCAAGCAGCGCGGGAGGGAGAGAGGGGTGGAGCAGACAGAAAGCGAGGGCCAGGCACTGCCCCCCCCGTCCCCCGTGGCTCCCCCTTCGTGCCCCCCCCCTCGTGGCTCCCCCAAGGTGGCCCCCCCCGATCTGTACCCCCCCGCCCCCCGGCAGGCTCTCATCATTGCCGTCCACAGTTGCCCCCAATCGCTGCCCCTGATCGATGCCCTCCGCCGTTGACCCTCGGTGGCCCCCTTGCGGACCACCGCATGGCTCAGTCTTCTGCGTGGGTCTCCAGAGGCCTCCGCGCAGAGGCTCCAAGAACACACCTCCGCGGGGACCGCTGGAGACATCTGAAAACTTCTGGGGACCTCCGCGGGAGGGGGGGGAGAGGATGGTGAAGAAGGATCGCAGGCTGGGTACGGTCGAGAGCTTTTGCTTAGCGTATCGCAGCGGCGGTCCTGGCGACACGCTGTGCCTTGCAAGCGGACGCCGTTCGGGCCTGCCTCGCACGGCGGGAGGCGAGGGAAAGGCTCGGGACGCGGACGCTCAGGGACTGGGACGTGGATCTCGTGTCGCGCCGAAGCGTGGTCGGGCAGAAGCAGCGGTGCGGCACGCCAAGCCAGAATTCCCGACAGCATCTCCTCGTCCCAGCGCGAGCGGAAGGCGATCGACCTCTTTCTCTGCATCCCCCGTGCGCTGCGCGACCTTCGGCAGCCGAGCGCCGGAGGTGAGGCGCCCCCTCCTTCGTCGAAGGGCCGGCACCTCGGCTGGAAACTCTGTGGGGACCAGCGGTGACCGGACGCCCTTCGCACAACAGCCTGCCAGGAAGCCGCAAGCACGCGTGGCTGAACCCACCTCCTCCTTCTCGCCATCCTCCGCTTCATCCTCCTCCTCCACTCCTTCTCCTTATAGATAACTCCTCCCTGTCGCACCCCCAGGGCAATTTTTAGGGCGGGTCGGGTGTTTCGCTTGAGACGCCCGACGGGGGGGCCGAGTTTGGCCCATCTGCTCTTCTTTGAAGCCAAAATCATTGATTTTACTAGGGTTGTGGCCCCATTTTGGCCTCCTGAGGGGGCCGCGCTTCTCTTCCCTCATAGCAAAACCATTGATTTTACGAAGGTTTTGGCCTCATTTTGTCCTTCTCAGGGGGCAGCTCTCCTTTGCGCTTCTGCGGAGGTCGCAAGAGGCCCCAAGATGGCCCCAAGAGGCCCCCAGGAGGCTCCCAAGAGGCCTCCAAGAGGCCCCCCAGAGGCCTCCCAAGCGGCCCCAAGAGGCCCCCCAGAGGCCCCAAAGCGGCCCCAAGAGGCCCCCAA